CATAGCAACTGGCACTTCTCATGTCTTCTAGTAACATTTGTTTTACAGCTTTCCCCATACAAATGAGGATGTCATGGATTGATCCTTTTGATCTGTGAGTAAAGTGCTTAAGTTCAGAAACACCAATTTGCTTCTCAGTCATTTCAAGTAAAGGTATGAACTTAATGTTGGGAAGATGTTCTTTCATGACAAAGTAGAGAGCAGAGAATACTTGCTCTAGGACAGAAATTTCCTTTTCCACTTTCTCTCTGTAGTCTTTGTGAATAGTGGACATCCTTTGAAGGCGTTCACTTTCGATACTTCGAGCATGAATTCCAGACTGCTTGTGGTCGTTGAAGGCTGCTAATTTGTATCTCTTTGAGGGAACATCAATAAAAGCATTACTAGTCTTATTAACACTGCTTTTGGAACGATGTTTCAGACAAAGCAGGCAGAACATCCCCTGTACTTCCCCTTCTTCTAGGAAACATGCCCACCAGTAGTTGCTGGACAGCCAGTGATGCTTAAATTTATCCTTGGAACCATCAGTCTTGAATGCTGCTTTTTCATTTCTCAAACTCGAGCACTTCTCCTCCGTGCAAGTAACAAAATTATGAACATTCGCTGGAAGACTGTCTGATTTGGTAAGTTTTAATAACATTGTGTTTATCTCATTAGCATCAAGCAAAATTTGGTCATGATTTAAACTTGTTGACACAGTCGCATGAGTAGGTTGTGCTTGAGTTGGAGTTGGGGTTGTTTGCTCAGCTTGAGCTGTATTATCTATCACTTGAATTGGACTGGATGGACCAGTAGTTGGTTCAACTGTAACTGAGTCAGATTCAGTTGTCTTATTTTCTACACACAAGAAAAAAAAAATGATTCAGTTGTCTCCAGAAAGCATCAACACAAAGTTATTTGATATAAACACAACCACTTGCAATCGATCACGGTGTTAAAGTAGGTTAATAGTAAAAAATGCAGATTAGGACATTTCGAACAAACTTTTCAAATCCTTTGGGCAATACAGCGTACATATGCAAAAGTATAGGTCACAGTAAATCGGTAATTTATCAAAGGAATGCAGAGAAGTCCTTAGGAAGTCGAAGATTCTAATCAAACTCTTCAAATCCTTTGAGCAAAACACTGCATGAATGCAAAACTATCGACTTCTAAAACTACTCACCTGATATCTTGCGAAAGAATTTGTATATTTTTGCATTAGTATCCTCAGCATGAGCTCGTTTGGATGCCATTGGAGTTGAAGCCATCTNCGACTTCTAAAACTACTCACCTGATATCTTGCGAAAGAATTTGTATATTTTTGCATTAGTATCCTCAGCATGAGCTCGTTTGGATGCCATTGGAGTTGAAGCCATCTTGTTTGTAACTGGAAGAACATTGACTCCTGACTGTTCAGGCGGCTCATTTTTCCACGCAATGTGCAAGGCATTCCTAGGCTCCAGTTACCCCGCGGCTCTGAAATATGTGTTCGCTCATTTGTCCCTGTGCAGCTCGACTCACAAAAAACATTCGTATATGCTTTTTAGTCACAATTTGATCTAGAAGAGGCTTCATATCAGTTCATTAAGAGCTTTAGCGTGAATTGTTTACTGATTTATGGCAAGTTAAAACTTAAACCTGATTTATTTAATAAACTTTTAAGTGTGTAGTAGGCGGCAGATATTTCGTAGAAGGCGGCAAAATCGTCGGCTGCCGGCACATTTTGACTGGGCTGGATTCCACACATGGAAAGTTATTTTCGTATAGATCACGCAAGGAAGACTTGCATTGTAGCATATATAAATTTGCTTACTGAATCACAAAAGTACGGAAATTGCACGATTTCTGAGAAAAAATAGTCATGGTTTACATTGACATTGTAGTGTTTGCACCAGTGTTGTTGTGCAAAGAACATTGTTATGTGTTCATGGATTTTTTTCGTGAATTTCACAAGATGACATGATGAAGGAGCTATAATCCATCTGTTAAACAGCACTATAATCCTGTGAAACATCAGCGGTTTAGAGAATCAAAAATTCAAGTTGTGATGCTACCATTGAAGGGCCACAAGGCAAACCAAACAAAGTTATTTCAAGCTGTTGTGCAAGAAAATGTGACAAAATGGCAAGCTCCTGGTAAATGAGCCCAGAAACAGGTCCAGAAACTTTTCTAAAAGCACAAATAAGAGTGTCTGAGGTTCTTGGCTGACAACGCTCTAACACAGAAGTATTTTGTGCAATTGTGATTTGTGCGAAGTGCAAGCCAAAGGCAGCCATCTTCTAAACAGGCAAAGACCGATCTAGAGGCAAGAACAGTTTAAAGACTTCAAAAGAAGATCAGTAAAGTTTAAGACAATTACAAAATTATTTGCTTCGAGGATATTGAGAAGCTCGTCTCGAATAGAGTCCAGTTTCTGTTACACCACAAAACAGTCCATCTTGAAACACAAATGTCTCTGTATTGAGTGCTCCCATGGCAATTAAGTCATTGTGAACAGTGTGGACAAGTTAACATTTTTGACAAATATATTTTATGGAAGGAGGGAATTTTTCTTTTAATAAGTTTTGGAATTTACTAGACTGAGACTGTTGGTAGAGGTCATTGAGTACGTAAGCTTTCAGTATAACTGTTTTTGGAATTATAGCAGTTTCATTAGATGCAAGAATTGTGAACTTCTTTGTTTTTCATGCAATTTGAGTGCATCTACATCCTGATTTCAACACTTGCGCATTCGGGTATTATTGTGCAAGAAGGTCACCCCCCAAGTCCAAAGGTGCCCATACGCCTATAGCTATGCTCTTGTTTGTCCCACAAGTACATCAAAAAAGTTAACACTGCAATAAGCGACCAATTTTAGGCCCAGCTTCCACACATACCGGTATCTGGATATTTTAGAAACTGAGATTTTTTCTCTGTTTTGAAAAAATATGCATCAACATGTTTCATTTTCAATTCCTTTTAGCCTGTCCACTGAAAACACTAAAACAATGGAAATTTGACAGTATTCCTTACAGAGCTTACACAATGCAGTACAAATGAGCGAAAAACTCATGACATTGTGTGACGCTGTGACAAGAAACAAGGTTGAAAAGTGTATATTTGTCTAAATATTTTGGGCTTCTTTTCAAGATCTTTTCTAAGGATTTTCCATGATTTACTAGTACAAAATATGTAGTTTGCGATGTTTGTGTAAGTACACAGTAATTGACTATGCATGTAGGGGCATTCATGCTGACGTCATTGTTTACATTTTTGCTCATTTGCATACGGCTTTGCATACAGCAGGAAGCAAGTTAGATATACCTAAATTGACTCCAAGCAGATAAAGGGCTAGTGAAACTTAATGCATGGTGAAGTTTTTAGCTCTTTGGGTGTAATATTCAAGGAGAAATTGTCTTTCAAAAACTGCAAAATTTCTGGGTGGCAAAAGCGCTAATGAGCTCATACATTCTTTGTAAAATTTTGAGTTTTTAAACCCGTTTTGTACAAAAAGTATTTAATACATCAGGCTCAAATTCACTGACAGAGTTAATCGTACTGTGGCATTTCAATTTTCATAACTGATTTCTTTGTAGCTCCATCAGAAACTGAATTGCTTATGCTAATGAAGCAAATATTGTCAACAAGGATTCCCCTATACTACGGTCAGTCGACAATAACAAAGTGAAAAGTTACCTCACATTCAGATATTGTTGGACATCTCTGCTTATCTCTTATTTTAAAACTATTTTCAATCATTGATCTGGAGAAACTTTGACTCCATCGCATTTGAAGCTTGTATTTCAGGGGAAATTAATGTTTGAATCCAAAATTGTTTTGACAGTCCAAAATCTGCACATTCCGTAAAGTCAAATTAGCAACTCTTTGTATCCACTGACATCTTTATAACTCTTTAAGAGCTGTGAGTTAACTCTTCAGTCATTCTAGACTGGCGACCAAGCCACACTTTGAAATGGAAAAAATATATATAATTTTTATACATCATAGCTGTCCAAATTGTAGCTATACTCCAAATTGTAATGCTAGATGATCTAGTTCTTTCAGTTGAAATGCTTGTCCAGTTTTGATAAAATATGAATCACAAATAACCCAAAACTGTTTTGACAGCCCTCAAAGCTCAGTCAAAAGTCCCTTGAGTGTTTTAGCCCAGTTCCCAAAGTGGCGTCACTAGTAGCCCGACCCAGATCCCACTTTGCGTGGTCGTGAACATAGAAATTACATGTTCAAACACCTGTAGAAAAGCAGGGATTTTATCAATCAAGATAACTTTTTCACTGAAGTAATCGGGGAAACTAGTAGATTTTATTAAAGGAAAAAAAAATGGGAGGGGGGGGGGTAGTGGCACTTTAACTTACGTAATCTATTTCCAATTACTGGATATGTAATTTTCACAGGGATCCGATGGTGGGAAGACTCCTAAAATGATGATTAAAAATGCTTGTTTTGCTTTGGACAAAAAAACTGTATTGAGATACCTTAAAAAAACTGATTTAGGGTTAAGCTACTGGTATTCAAGTAAAGTTACCTCGTATCTCAAAAGCACTTGTTGATTGTAGGGTATTCGGAACATGCAGATGCCCATAAACGTTTATGGGGGCAAAGTCAATTCCCAATGTCTTCTCTACAGTACTTACAATTGAAATGGTAGAAAAATGGTGTTCCTGGTTCACCACAGGAAATGTTCAGAGATTCGAAGCAGAATTTTTGCTTGGCCTTTTTTCTGAATTATGGTAAATGCTCCAGGTGTACAATCAATGTGTCCTACTGCATGTTCCATGAATACCCCATGATTCTAAGGCACAAAGATTGCATAGTCCAGGTTAAGAATTATGTATTAATTTATACACTAGCCTGTCATGTTATTTGCATTTCACTTTTGCACTGCACTGTTCTACTTGGGGAGAATTGTCTGTGACATTCATTATTGAATGCAAATACAGCTGTAGAGCAAATCTTGCTTACATTACCTTGTATTACATTTCATAGCATTAATGTTGGGCATCACTCTTATCTTCCAGATCATAATTGCTAGCATAATGTGTGGCTATTCTAAGGAAGACTGGACTGAACTGGCTCAGATGGCTGAGGTAATTTTTTTTTTCTCAATTCAGATTGAAGTCAAATATTCAATTTGTTGTTAAAATACCAAGAAAGCTGTGGATATATAAGTGAAAAGGCAAAGTCGTGAAACTGAATTAAAAGCCTAGAAAATAACTCATTGTTTCAAATGTGACAAGGATGCTTAAGATGGGGAAAAATATAATTTACAGTAGCTTAAGTTTCTCAATTAGCCAAGCGCGAGATGAGAGGAAATAATTAATGTAAATGAAATGTACGCAAACATGACTCTTGCCTTCGAGCGGTGTTGTGTTACAAAGATGCGATTTACAAGGGTTTGTATGGGAACTTTACGGGTTTGCTTTAAATGCCTAAAATTTAATGTTCTGACTTCTCTTGCTTTCCTGTCTTATTCTTTGTTGTTTCATGGTGTTTGAGGCCGTTTTGTAGCATTTTCATCGAGTTAGCGCTGGTGGTGGTGTCCCACTAGAAAAAAACACAAGGCTGGCAGGCTCAGAATCAAACCATCGTACTGTGAAGGCCAAAATACTCAAATCTGCCTCTCTCACTGCTGCATCATGCGTATTGGTAAAGGTGAAATTTAGTCTTTGATGGTGCGTATGGGTGAAAACCTCACTCCCAAACAAGCAGAAATTTTTCAGTTTGCCAAAAAAAGCAAAGTGAATGCATTCGGATTTCAGTTTTGAACTTTCAACGTTCATTCTGTCCTGGGCGCCTGTCTGATAAGCAGTTCGTTGGTGAAATTCGTTTATAAACTAAATGCTCAAACAGTTCAACTGTTCTTTTCAGAGCAAAAATTCAACAGTTCTTTTCAGAGCTATCCTTCAGTGGTTCTATTTAGATTTAGAACACCCAACAGTTCCTCTCAGAGCTAAATTTCACTAGCAAAATGCTGTCAAAAGTGGCGAGAGATGAGACGAAGTATAATCCTCCCTACTACTGACACTACTTTACAATACAAAAGGGCGGTGTACCCTCCCATAGTGTTGATTTGCATATAGGCAATAGTTCCATCCCACCCACCGAGTGCTGTTTTTGTTGAGCAGACGTGGTCGCTAAGCTTCGAGTTTCAAATCTGGTATTGTCACTGTTGGCTATACACATGATGCAGCAGCGAGAGAGACAGATTTGAGCTGGTAAACGAGCGATTTTCAGGCCGTTGCGATGAGATTTGCAAATCGAACCAGCGACTGATGGAATGGGAAGCGAGTTATTAACCGCGCGGCCATGGCTGAGCGCTGTTCATGGTTTACCCATGGTTTATTGACTTTTTTTTAGTTTTGTCGGTGACCAGACCCAAACTTCCTCTCGGCCAAATGTTCAATCACGCAACCTGTGATGTTTACTCGCCAAAAGCTGTTGAAACATTAATACAAGGACAATGTTACGGATATTGTTTTCTTTATTTGTGTGTAAAATGTATTTTCTTTTGGTTTTATTGAAACACTGGATTTGAAGGGAAATAATAAATACGCTAAAAAAAGGTATTACGTCAGCCATGGAATGCACTGACGTTGCAGCTTTCACTTTCGCTACCTGACGAATAAGATCGTGTTTACTTTGCAAGTTTATTTCGGCAGAAGCGACGCTCATCAATTTATTTGCAATTTTGTGAGTATTTCTTATGGTTTTAGGCAAATGAAGTAAATTCTTTGGATGTTTCATCGCAGTGAGTTCGGTGATCAGAAGGAAAATTAAATATTTGCAAGCCAAGCAAAGAACTTGTCAGAACATGCAAGGATTACGTCATTGGTAGGGAAATAACCACCGTACTAAAGGTAGCCATGGATAATGGAAGTCTTGAATTATGTGACTTGTGTGACTATTTTGCTAGCCCTTTACTCGTGGAAAACACCAATTAAATTTAATCGTGACTTTCAAGAAAGAAAGCTGTTGTTAATAGTGTTATTATCGTATCGTTCATATTGTTCCTGCCCATACATGTCCCGAACAAAGTTCCAGATTAAGACCATTACGTCATTGGAGATTTCACAACCGTTACGACTGATGGTGCAATAATAGAGTTTGTGTTGATCAAGTGATGTGATGTCTACAGTAAGAAAAGAATCATCAAGGACTGATTTGGAATATGCACTGCATTGCGACTGTAGTGGTAAGCAAACAGTTAAATTTTAAAAGCGCGGTTATAAGATCTAACAGAAGGCAAGAGTCATGTTCACATATGTTTCATTTACATGAATTATTTCCTCTCATCTGGCACTTGGGCCGCCTGTGAATTAACATTGCCTAGTGAACTTTCTTTCTCATAAAGCAAGAAAACTAATAAGCAGTGTTGTAGGTACATGTAGTTTGTCACACTCAAACTTAGATGTGTTGCTTAGCTCTCACAAGTTTAGTCTTCTGTCCTCTGAGTCAGTGCGTTTGTTGAATGATATGTTCAAAAGGACAACAAGATGTAAGTTAAACTTGTATTGGTGGAATGTGGATACACTCTATTGACTTTTCAAAACAATAAGCAACAACCCATCCCACCTGCTATACACTCATTTACCCTGAATTAAACAAACAGCAATGAGGTTAGGGAATAGTTGTGGACAATTTCCGAAAATACATGCTGAACATTTTAAAATACCTTTCTTAATAGACTTAGGTTTAGATATAAGATACAAATTAGCAATGTAGACTTTTCAATTTCTTGTCGTATTTAATAATCTTAATTTTTAATTATCAGTCAATTTTCGATATTGTACAAGTAAGTGCCTATTAAATATTCTAGCTAATTCTACTTTGTAACTTTTGTATGTATTTTTATCAAATGAATAGATATTTATGTTATTATTATTATTATTATTATTATTATTATTATCGTTATTATTATTATTATTGATCTTATGCCTTCAACTCTTCTTACTGGTATTTCATACAGTAATATTATGGTACCTGAGGTCCACAACAAAACCTAAACTAACCTACACGAACCTCAGTCATGGAAATCCATTTGAAATCTCTTTGCTTCTATCGTTTACAGTCATGTGTAGCAAATTATCACACAGAAGTCTGAACTTTTGTTTCTCTGTGCATCTTTTGAGCCCACAATACACTTCACAACATGGCCAGCTCCCAGCTGCCTTGATAACTCAGTTGGCAGGGCACTGCACTGGTATCACAGAGGTCATGGGTTTGAATCCCATTGAAGCCTGATTTTTTTTCAGGCTTTAGTTCATAACAGTAACTGCTTAAGTTGTGTATATAACTGTGATGATCAATCACGACTTCATTTCTTTCTCCGCAGTTCAAATGTATGATCTTTCATATATTCACTTGTATTCTTCACCATAAATGGGTATATTATGTACTCACAATGTGACCAGGGGCCTGTTTCTAGAAAGCCCCAGAAACTTTTCTGGGCCGTAAAGCCATTTTTAATTGACCTGTATCTAAAAGCAGAGAGGTGTATACGCGTGAAAATATGAAAAGAACCTCTGTTCATGGAGAATATGTGTATAATATAGCTCTGTAATCATGATGTTTGAGATTTTGCTACAGCTTTCTGGATTTGAAAACTTTTTTAGGGACCTTCAAGAAAAACGACCCCTACTCTCAGCTGGCTTGATAGCTTAGTTGGTAGAGCACTGCACTGTTATCGAAGAGGCCATGGGTTCTAATATTGTTTGAGCCTGAATTTTTTCAGGCCTAATTTCACACCTGCTTAATATGTTTTGTGTAACAGTGATGATCAGCTATGTCTTCAAATCTTTCTCTGCAGTTCAAATATATGATCTTTCATATATTCATGTTTAAAGTACTTTGCTCATAGTTTGCGTTATTTTGTACAACTTAACTACAAATATCATGGAATAATAAAGTGTATTATCGTTTGTCTCACAATGTGGTCACTTGAGATGTAGATCGCGACGTTTCGACTGTGTACTGCTAGTCTTCTTCAGGCGATAAGGTCGACTGATTGCATGGTATCATTTATATCACAAAGGTCGGCTGTTATTGGTGCATTTCGATCCTCCTATTGTTCCATTGTTCCAGTGAGTAGCTGTTCCCTCAGTGGTCC